CCCGCTGACCGGGCAGAGCCGCGAGCAGCCCCGGCCGGGGTACTACACCGGTCACCTGCAAAGGGAAGAAGCGAACATAAAAACTGCACACCAGGAGCCAGGACCGCGTTCTCCACGCACAAAGCCGCAGGAATAGAACCAGCCCTGTAAGGGGATAACAGGTTTTAATGTCAAAAAGCCCCAACAGTTCACTTTTTTTTTTTTTTCTTTAATATGGACTAAGAAATAGTTTGCATTAAAAAAAGAGGTGTGACGGAGACTGGTGTCCGGACCCCTATCACCCCACAGACGCAGCACTGAAACACCAAGCCTAAAGGGCTCATTCTCTCAAGATTTTACCACCAGGGAGGTAACCATGGAAAGCACTAAATAATTGAGTACTATTGAGGGTTGCCCGGTAACTGAGAGTGCAATAGTCTAACGTTTTTTCTGTGAGCTTGTACTTGGGTAAATATTTAGGCTTTTAAAGCTTTAAATAACAGCGGACATGGCATTGGGACACTGTGCAAAGCCCTGGACTATGTTTACTCACAGATGGTCTATTACTTATAGGATCCTCTAAAGGCTTTTCAGTCCGTGCAGTCCTTGTGCAGCGCGTAGTGGTCTTTGAGTTCAGCGGGGAGTCAGTCTCTCCTGGGACTGCATTCCCAAAGCTCAGCTTCCCAAAACCCCTGGCGAACCACAGCCCTTGGCCAACAGGTGTGAGACGGTGCTGGCCTGGATGGCCCTATTCCAGTAAATCCAGATGCTTTGGGTTATTCTTTGGTTTTCTTTTGTAAGGGCCAGATTACGCTTTTACTGAAATCAGATTGGTAAAGCTTCAAACCAGGAGGAAAAAATAAAAAAGAAAGAAATATTCCCTAGCAACAAGAAACATCCAGAGACCGAGAGCACTTACTGTTAACAAGTGGGTAAAATAATGAGAGCACACAACAAGGTGATATATTTCTAGGAGGTGGGACTCTTACAATACCTTTTATTTATTTTAATCCGAGAATACAGCAGATGGGAACAAACAAACAATGGACAAGAAATATAACCCTAGTTTAACTGTTGATTACTGGAAGGACACCCAGTTTCATCATAGTGGTGTCCTGGAGTGTGAACAGTTTCACTGGTTTTGTAAACACACTCAGCAGATGTGGCAATAATCATTGCGTTGTTGTAAGAGTAGGGCAAGAGCTTGCCGAAGCCTTTGAGCCATATTGAAGACTGTGAGCAGTTGTGCTAAAAGATGTATTTTTCCTATGTGAAGGATGAGGGGGCCCTTCTGCCTTAAAATTTTATATTTGAAGAGAAAGAAATTATTCAAATATCAACAGCTTTCATTTTTCTACACAAAGGAGTAGGGAATTGCAGACCAAAGGGAGCTTTTTACATGCAATACTGTTTGCTTAAATTAGCATCATTTCTTAAATCCACATTTCTTCCCAAAGCCTGACATTGCTTCTGCAGCTTGTCCGGTTGCTTTTTCTACCCCATCTTGTGCCATCTTGGAAGCCTTGTCAATAGCTGCAAGAGAAGGAGAAAGATAAGCAGAAAGCTGGAAAAATGCAACGTGGTTTAATATTTATAATGGCTGGGAGAGGTGTGAAAATTATTAGACTTTAGGAATATAGGGATATATCATGAAGAAAGATTTTGGCAATTTTTCTGCCTTTCCATCTAACATCAACAGGTGCCCAAGCCCACCCTTCCTGTCACATCCGTGGAGCTGGAGAGGGTGTCTGCTCTAAGGACATATTGCCAGTGCGTTTTGGCTTTCATTAAATATATTAGACCCCAAAGTTGCTAGTTCTCCCCTCATTCTTAGAAAAGCATTAAAATTAAGTGAGAATTGAGCTTAGTTTTTAGCTTAACTTGTTCCAAATCCCCAGAAGCAAGACACCAACACTTTCCTGACAGCATGTTTCCAGCTGTGCTCTCATTAATGTCTGACCCCAGCTGCTGCCTAGGGCTGGGCACGGAGAGACCCCTGCCCTCCACGCTGGGGGCAGCAAGATGTATCGCAGGGTTACTTAATCCTCAAGAAAGAAAAGCAAAGTTTGGTCCACGCTGTTCTCACAAGTTTGCTAAAAAGGAAGCCAAAAATCTGAGTGCTGTGCGTGGCCAGGGGAGTGTCAGCGATTGTCTGCCAGTAAACGTCTGGAGCTACTAAGGCAGAGATCCTGAAATCCCTTCCCGTGAGATTTACAAACAGCCAAAAACTGTCCCTGAAACCACAGACTTTCAAGCTGAGAACACTGGTGGGCTGGAGGGGAATGAGCGCTGCCCGCTGCTGGCTTGTGTTTTGCTGCTCCATCGCTTCTCGATTTGCAGAGCATCACTCCTACCTTTCTGGCTTGCGTCTGTGATCTGATTGACTGCATCCTGAGCAGCCTGGCCCAGCGTGTTTTCTGTAATTAAGGATAAAATAAATAAATAAATAAATCATTTCCAGCTGTTCATATTTATGCTTATAGGAATTCCCTATGTCAGTTGGCTTTTCTGGGCGTTCGCAGGAGGTTGTGCCCCTGGCGGGAGCTAAGGCTGGCACGGAGCAGGCGGGGGCTGTGTGCTCCTCTCGTGTCCCCCTGGGAACGCTGCGTGTTGCCAGAGCAGCTTGCGCCGAGATTAGCGTTCACCTAGCACCTACGGCCAGCTGAGCAAATCGATGACAGATAAGAAGATAAAATAAAAAGGAGATAAAGACACAAAGATTAGCAGTGAGTTGAAATGATGACATTGAGCTGAAAGTTGCTTATTTTACAGTACACTTGATTTTACTGATTTTGGTAGCTTGTTCTGCTGGAGAAGCTTGGCCCTCTGGCATGCGCTTTCTGCGCGGCCGTTTGGGAGTTAGAGCGTGTTCCAAAATGGAAGAAAAGTCATTAAACAGAGCAGGACAGGAAAAGGGTGATTTTGCAAACAAGATATAAATAGAAGAGGAGGAGGAGTGGAAGCTAGAAGCGTAACAGATCAACTCCAGAATATAAAGCATGCAAGAAGTGAGATGCCACACAACTGTGGGATGTTCACAGGTTATGGAGGTGTCAGCCATCCCATCGCTTTTGCTGGAAGTGGCCCCTCGAAGGCATGAATGTATTCAGGGTGCAGCGAGGACTATTTTGTTTCTCAGAAAGGCATACTGTCACGTTTCAGGGTCTACTACACCTTTGCTCCCAGGTGTGAGGAAACTTTCTGTAGCCCTGAAGGAAGCAGTGAGGCTACTCGCATACTTCAGCCATACAAGAAAGTGTCTGCGGGACCAGTGCCCAGGACTGTATGGACACAAACGCCACCCTGCTGGGAGTGAGCTGCACACAGACACTGTGAGGAGCACGGGGCAGTGCTTGAATGAGCTCTACAGACAGGACAAGGGAAACGCTATTATACTTCGCACTGAACAGTTGGTTTCCAGTGCCCAGCACTAATGAAAATACAGTGCTTGGCCCTACAACGTGAGCTCAGCTACGACGTGTGCGCAGTTTTTTTAAACCCTGCAAAGGGTCTGGTGATCACTGCTGGAGAAGAATACAGCAGCAACGTACTTGTCCTGCTTGTTACGAACAGTCCGTTGCAATCAATACAGTTATTCCCGGAGAGCACTGGCGGTCGGGTCCCTTAGCAAAGAGTACTGAGAGGTTAACTCCGACTTCTTGAAAAGCAAGCCACTTAGAACCCACTGCCGAGCACAAGAAAAGACCACCCTGAGCAATGTGAATGCTAAATACAAGGGGTTGTTACTACTGAAAAGGCTCCACTGCTCTAAAAGCTCTAAGTTTAAAGACCTGTTTGGGGAGTGATAAAGGTGGGACAATGCCCAGCAGCCACCAAGGGAGCGGCGGGTGGGGGCGGAGCAGAGAGCTGTGCCCAGCCTGGCGCCTTCTCCAGGACACGGCCAAGCCTTGGCCCCCAGAACAGAAGAAGAGAAGGGGAAGCTGTGTCCTGCTTGCGCCGATGAAGCTCATAGTCTAACTTCAGATTGTGGTTTCTGTAAGAGGAAGCAGCAGCAAAGCCCCCCCACCCACCC